GCCAAGTGGGTAACACAGACCATGAAGAATGCTTGGGCGTTGGAAGCCTTTGTGCCAAACCAAGGGAGGGACTTCTGGAAAGGTCCCAAGGTAGGAAATCACAATCTTTCAGAACTAGGAGTTCAGACTGGACATCATGAGTAGTCCTGCAGTGGTGTGGGACCTGTCTGTGATTGCCCATCAACCAGATCATGTCGACATGATATCTTTAATTCATTCAACAAATACTGGTAGCATGTGGACATGTATGGATGTGGGGGTGTATACACTATGCCAGGCAATGGGACACCACACAGAGCAAGTTTCCATTGGGAATCTGGTGTGGGACACAGACCAGTAAACTGACAATGGCCATAAAGAATGAGAAGACCTACCAGGGGACAAGCAGACAGTGCTCTGGGACCCTTGGACCACAAGGAAGGTACCCTTTAGGGACAGAGAATGAGCTGCGTGGGCTTCAGCAAGCTGGGTGAGCACTGAAGAATGAATAGGATTCACCCAGGTGAATGGTGGGAGTGAGAACAAGGTGTCAGAGGGGCTTTTGGAAGCAAAGGAAAAAGCCTGGCTCAAAATCCGGAAGTAAAAGAGAGTGTGGCATTTCCAGAAACCGCAAGAGACTCGGTCCAGTTTGTGCTTAGAGCAAGAGTGGGAAGTGGCGAGAGTGGGCACTGGGCCAGTCACCCTCAGAGTCTGGACTTCATCCTGAAGCCAGTGGGGGTTTTCCTTCCCAGGGAGGACATGATCAGGGCCTTTACATGTATGTCTTGGGTAGTCGGTGCCATGATGCCAATAATAAAAAAGAGTCCAGCTCCTTGTCAACACCTGCATCTAACATCCAAGCATCTTCCAGCAGAACCAAAAGAAGAGCTTTGCCACCTTTTTCTGGGCATAAAAACAGGGTCCTGGTGTCCTGAGATGATGAAATCCCTGATTTGCTGAGAGGATGCATTTTGGACCTCAGGGTACATCACCCATCAAGTGGTTTTTCCAGCCTAATTCAAGCTCGGTGGCCTCAACCTTAGTGGCACATGAGAATCACCTGGGAAGATTGAAAAAAAAAAAAAACTCCCAATGCCTGTGGCACCCTTGCAGATTCTCATTTAATTGTCTGGGGTGTTGCTGGGCACAGGTATTTTTGAAAGCTCCCCAGGTAATCCCCATGTGCAGCCAAGGTGGAGAACTGCTATACAGCACACAGCCTAGCAACGGGAACTCTCCAGAAGGAATGGACACCCCTTGCCAGGTGCTCTAGCCTGGAGAGTAGAGGCTGCATCAACTTTTCTAACCTTCCTGGCAGATCTTCAAAAGTGGCCACTGATGAGAGGTCTTCAAACCAGTTGCCGTGGAGTCGATCCTGACTCATGGCAACCCCGTGTGTGTCAGAGTAGAACTGTGCACTGTGCTCCAAGGGTTTTTCCATGGCTGATTTTTCAGTAGATCTCCAGGCCTTTCTTCCGAGGCACCTCTATGTAAACTTGAACCTCCAACCTTTCAGTTAGCAGCTGAGCAGGTTAATCGTTTGCACCATGCAGGCAGGGACTCAAGAGGTCTTCAAAACTGCCCCTTACCCTTATTTTTCTTGCCCCTCCCCACCACCACCTTTATACAGGTAGATGAAAAAGGACTTTGTTCTAATAAGGGAGCTGGAGAGGGAGGCCTGCCTCACCTATCCCTGCTCACCTAGGGCATCAGCACCTCCCTGGGCCACACTGTCAGTGCAGTATTAGGGGGCTTTGTCAATTGTTTTTGTTGCTTCTTTTTCCTTGAATTTACCCAGAAACTCCAAGCAGGCCTCATTAGGCACGTTATTTATGCTCACCCAGTCACACATCACCTTCCTCCTCACCCTACCCCCAGATCTCTTTCCCCTATTCTCCCGGTTATTCAGTGCAGTTGGGTTTTGTTCCCTGAAAAGCACCTTTCTGGAATGGGTACACCATAGGGAGTGAGGCACCGTTGTCCCTCATCCCTCTCTCGTGAAACCCCATCCATCAGGAACGCCAAGTGACAAGCCTCTAAATACTTCCCAAGTCACTGCCCTGTGTAGTTCTTTCCATACTGAGACAGCAAATCTTTAGCTGGGTTGTTTTTTGCAGCAGTTAACAGCTGTCTTGGTGTTAATTCCCAATCAGTAGCCCTGGCTGCTGGTCTTACAGCTGTTGGCTTCTGGCCTCCACAGCACAGTCTGAAAGTAACTTGACAGGGCAGTGGACACTGTCTCGGCACCTCTCACCACTCCCAGGAAAGCCCTCACTCAGCTTCTGAGGGACACCAAACGCTGCGCCATGAACGTCAGGGCCAAAGGACAGAGAGAGCTGGCAGTGGCACCTCACACCTCTTTCAGGTGTGAGGACAGCTTGGAACACAGGTACCACCACTCCACTGTGGAGTAGCGGCCCCTTTGGATATTCGCAATGCTTCCATTTTTCTATTTTGTTTGTTTTGGATTTTTTCTGTTTGTTTTCAGATGGCTGTATCTTTTCTCCATCTAAAACCTTCATTCAAATCAGTCTTTTTTTTTTTTTTTTTAAGTCAAGTAGCCATGGTCGCTTATTTCCTGCCTATGTTGCTTCTTTCAGCTCCCTGTGGCCAGAATGAGACCCGGGAGGATGGTAAAATAATCCAGCTGCCTCCCTGCAAGACAGGAGCCTGGATCGTGCCAGCCATCATGGCCTGCTACCTCTTGGTGGCAAACATCCTGCTGGTCAACCTCCTCATTGCTGTCTTTAAGTAAGTGGGTCCTTCCTCAGCGCACTTGGAGGGGGCAGGTGGGGGGAGCTTCGGAGAGCGATAGATTTTCTCACTTGATTGTCTCGGTCTCTATTTCAGCAATACATTCTTTGAGGTAAAATCGATATCCAATCAAGTGTGGAAGTTTCAAAGGTATCAGCTCATCATGACTTTCCATGAGAGGCCAGTTCTGCCCCCGCCTCTGATCATCTTCAGCCACATGACCATGCTATTCCAGCACCTGTGCTGCCGATGGAGGAAGCACGAGAGCGATCCAGATGAAAGAGACTACGGCCTGAGTAAGGGTCCGGTGGCAGCCCTGGCCGACCACACAACAGAAAGCCCTACCACTTCCTATGGGCAATCACACAGGACCAATTGCACCTAATTCCTCCCGCTTTCTGCAGACAGAAACCAGCTCTGGGGACTTGGGAGGGGAGGGTACACTTGCATAAGAAGTAGTGCTAGAAAGAAAACACTAGAAGCTGAAACTGAGTATTCTCAGCCTCACCTCCTTTCCTAGTAAGATAAAAATCAATCTCCAGCAGGTCTGTTTTAGCACCTTTATGGGTTCTAACTTTCTTACATTCCAGAGGTCCCACCACAAAATACATTAACCATGTTGATATGCACCCAGGGCTACACTGGAGCCCTAGTGGCGCAGTAGTTAAGAGCAAGGCTGCTAACAGAAAGGTCAGCAGTTGGAATCCACCACCTGCTCCTTGGAAACCCTAGGGGGCAGTTTTATCTGTCCTATAGGGTCACCATGAGTCGGAATCGACTCAAGGGCAACGAGTTTGGTTTTTGTAGTGCTACGTTGTACAGTGAAAACTGTGCGAGCCGGAACTTGACGGGACTGCCTTGTTTGTCCAGGTCTCACAAGTTTTCCCCCTTTGACAGGCTGCAGTCTTACCGCCTATCACTTGTTTCAGTGGAAAATATTTGCGTTTTCCATCTCTGACAGGTATCTGCCTTACACAGGTCCCAGCTTTCACAAGTCTTACTGTATGTAAGTTAGAAAGCATTACATATGAGTTGTTGAATTGCATTTGACAAAGTTTGATTTTCCATTGTCATTTCTGGACCTATAATTTTTGGGGGTCTTAAGCGTTTTCCCAAGCCTCATGCGCTGTGCCTATAGGACCTCATGAGGAAACCAGCCCTGGTTCCCATTATTCAAAGAACAAAATGGAAGATTCTTCACCATCCACCTTCTAACCAAGTGTTTCTAAAAGGAGGTGCTATTGGCATTTATGGGAAACAGTTCCTCATTGTGTAGGCCCGTTCCACACATTGCAGGAGGTTTAGCATACCTGGCTTCTAAACATTAAATACTAGTACTCACAAAAAAACACCCAAACTGTTGCCGTCAAGTTGATTCCAACTCAGAGCGACGCTGTAGGACAGAGTAGGACTGCCCCATACCGTTTCCAAGGCTATAATTCTTTACAGAAGCAGACTGCCACATCTTTCTCCCATGGAGCTGTTGATGGGTTCAAACCACCAACCTTTTGGTTAGCAGCCCAGTGCTTAACCACTGCACTACCAGGGCTCCTTAAATACTAGTAGGTCCTGCAAATTCCTAATTGTCCCTTAGAGGGGTAGTATTACCCTCAGTTAAGAACCACTGGGAATCCAGGCCCATACAAGCAAGCTACTGTGGTTTCTCAAATCGTGGTGATTTTACTCGAGATAACTGAAAAGAACCTCTGGAAATGTGGCCCAGGAATCTACCTTCCTAACAGGCAAGTCACGTTATTCTTGGTCACATTCCATATGATCACCAGTGCATCTAAGGTTTAAAACCAAAGCCACTTACTCAACTGCTTTTCTAAGTCTGAAGCTTTCACAACTTCCCTGTCATAGCAATGCCAAGCGTCTTTCTAGATATTAAAATTGGAAAACTAGGAAGAGCTTGGAATTCCAAAATTCACTTTTCCAGCTAAACCTCAAATTTTAGGCAAATAGAAATCTTAGGGAAAGGAGGGAAGGAGTAGGAGAAGACGACAAAGAAGAAGAACCACCTATGATATAAACCTTGAACAGTACAGAGGCACATGAACTGCCAAATTAGGGGCAGAGGAATGTTACTAATGGACTATATCCTGCAGTGGATGATAAGCTGAGGATTAACCCCAGGCCCCAAAGTCATTTATTTACAATAAAGGTTGTCCAATCTATGGTAAGAGGAGAACCTCATTTATCCAGAGTTTAGGAAGAGGGTGGTCTCAAAATACAACAAAGGAAGTGGGGCAGTCTGGAGAAACATTTCAGCTCGTGTCCACACCCTCACAGAAGGCCAAAGACCTGAAAAAGCCAGCTACATAAAGTTCAAGTTCATGGTTTTCTTGTTATCACCAATAATAGCAATGACAAGCATGACCAGGTCACAGGAAACATGGAAGGTGTGGAGCAAATTGTCAGCTCTTTCTCAGAGAAGATTTCAGAGATGCGGCTGGGTCAGAAAGGGTGAAGGGCAGGGACATGGGCATCTGCATTATATTAATCAATAAGGCAAAGTAAACTTTTCACTATCAATCTGTAGCCTAGTTAAGAGAACCCAGGACACTGCCAGTTGCCTCCAAAGCCAAGTTCTTGGAGAACCTTGGATGAAAGTACTCTGCAGTGTAAAATTTAATTTTCCTTGTAAAATTTGACATATTGTTGGTTTTTTTAAAAAAGTAGTATTTGAAAACAGAGTATTAGATATATAGTATTAGATATTGAGTATTAGTATTAGTAGACAAAGTAGTCAAATGAGACACTATTTTTATTTTATTGTTGTACTCTTTAAGTGAAAGTTTACAATTCAAGTTAGCCTCTCATACAAAAATTTATACATACATTGTTAAGTGACCCTAATTGCTCTGCCTATATTATGACAGCACACTCCTCCTTTCTACCCCTGATTTTCTGTGTCCATTAAACCAGCTCCTGACCCTCTCTGCTTTCTCATCTCACCTCCAGACAGGAGCTGCCCATTTAGTCGCATGTATCTACTTGAGCTAAGAAGCACACTCTTCACGAGTATCATTTTATGTCCCATAGTCCAGTCTAATGTTTGCCTGAAGAGTTGGCCTCAGGAATGGTTTTAGTTCTGAGCTGACAAAGAGTCCGGGGGTCATGCTTTTTGGGGTTCCTCCAGTCTCAGACCATTAAGTCTGGTCTTCTTACTAGAATTTGAGTTCTGCACCCCACCTTTCTCCTGCTCCATCAGTGACTCTCTGTTGTGTTCCCTGTCAGGGCAGTCATTGGTGGTAGCTGGGCACCATGTAGTTCTTCTGGTCTCAGGCTGATAAAGTCTCTGGTTTATGTGGCCCTTTCTGTCTCTTGGGCTAATACTTTCCTTGTGACTTTGGTGTTCTTCATTCTCCTTTACTCCAGGTGAGTTGGGACCAATTGATGCAGCTTAGATGGCCACTCACTAACTTTTAAGACCCCAGACACCACTCACCAAAGTAGGATGCAGAACATTTTCTTAAACTTTGTTATGCCAATTGACCTAGATGTCCCCTGAAACCATGGTCCCCAGACCTCCGCCCCTGCTACTCTGTCCCTCGAAGTGTTTGGTTGTATTCAGGAAACTTCTTAGCTCTGGTTTAGTCCAGTTGTGTTGACTTCCCCTGTAGTGTGTGCTGTCCTTCCCTTCACCTAAGATAATTCTTGTCTACTATCTAGTTGGTAAATACCCCTTTCCTTCCCTCCCCACCCTCGTAACCATCAAAGAATGTTTTCTTCTGTGTTTAAACCTTTTCTTGAGTTCTTATAATAGTGGTCTTCACAATATTTGTCCTTTTGTGACTGACTAAATTCCAAATGAGACTATTCAAGGTGTCAGAAGAGTAAATATTAAATACAGGTAGTCCCTGACTTACAACAGGGTTCCATTACAACAACTCTGTTGTAAGTTGGTTCTGACATAAGTGGAATTCCTCATTTTGTTGTTTTTTTTTTTTTTTAGTTTTCATTATTATTGCCTTTTATTATCAGTATCTTTATAAATTTGATCTTTGTATTTCGGGTTGGAAACATTACATAATCTGCTCAGGTAGATATTCTTCATCTTGTATTATCTTGTCCAGCCCATTCTTGAATTTTTTGGCAGCTTCAACATCAGCGCTTCCAGCTTTTCCAGTTATATGCATGTTGTGTAAGCCAAATCTGCATTTAAAGCAATGAAACCAGCCTTTGGTGGCATTAAAGTACTTGCAGAAGTCTTCTCTTTGCTTTTCCTTCAGGTTTTCAAAAAGGCTGTGTGTTTTCGTTTGAATCGTCAGTAAACTCATAGAAATCCTCTTCTGGATTTGGTTTTCTATCCAAATCATCAAAGCTTCTCTATCTCATGGATTGGCCCTTGGCTCTTCTTGGTTAAAATTGTCAGTTTTATGCCAATTGCTCCTTTAACTGCCTTCAAAATCCTATTCTTATCCTTAATGATTGCCGGAACAGTCAAATGAGACAGTGTTTCCTCACATGCTATCTCACCAACTTTTTTCCCATTATCATAGACCTTAATGATCTTCATCTTTACATCCACGTCTAGAGCCTTGTTCACCTTCTTTTTTGGGTTAGAACTTATAGTGGGATGACTTCTTTTGCTAGGCATATAATTGGTGGTATAGGCAGTGCAGGTGTTACAGGGTGAGAAACTCAAGAAACTTGGCTTCAAACTAACAATCAATGCTTCTGATGGTACCGAATTCTGAATAAGATCACACTATAGGCCTGGTCTACAATGAAGTCGGTGTCATAACGGCTCTTGGGTGCGTGCAAAGTTTAATTGTTATATATTGTTAGAGTTGAACACTGCCCAACTTTCTATCCATTACAACTCCTGACACTGACACCAACTTCATTGCAGACCAGGCCGTAGCCTACTATATGGCAGTATTTTGAACAGTAAATCATAACATTGAACATCTACTACTGTATCAGTTAAGAATGGCTTAGCTGCTAGTAACAAAATCAGGCTAACAATAACATAATGAATAAGCCTTTATTTTTCTCACATAACAAAAAGTGAAGAGGTAAATACCCCAGAGCTCAAAAATGGCTCAGTGAAGCCAAAGACCCATAGCCTTTCTATGTTTAGGCTCAGTTATTCTCATCATGCTGTCTTGTCTCATGGTGGCAAAATAGCTGCTGCAGTTCCAGTCATTACATTCATGTTCAAGGCAGGAAGAAAAGGAGAAGGAGAAAAAACATAGAAAAGCAGCAGCCACGTATCTGTATTGTATCAGAAAAGCAAAATCTCTTCCCAAAGCACCACGCCTCCCTGCAACAGACTTGTTTCATGGGCCAAACTAGGCTGCATGACTGCTGCTAGTTTCCAAGGAAGCTGGAAGTATGTATATTTGGCTTTCCAGCCCCAGTACTGGGAAGGTGGGAAAGGGAGAATGGGGTTGCAAAAGGCCAGCCAACAATGTCCGTCCACCACACCCTTCAGCCCAGAAATTTTTGAGCTTTTATGAAAACTGCATTATCTGTGTAGCTTCCCTTTTCTTTATTTAGCTATGTTTTAGGGCTTACAACTTGCATAATTCTAACCAGCCCCTGCAGTAAACCGGATATGCTTAGGTGAACTTCATACACCCATAGTGAATCTAATGTACAAAAAGAGGACAGCGACAAGTTCCCTGATTTGGATGCGGATTTAGTTTGAGATTTAGGAAAGAATCTAGGCCCCTTTTCATAATCTTGACTTAGATTAAGAATGTCATTAGACCCACCAATCAGATATCATCACTTTTACTTTTCTGCCTCTTATCTCTCTCTCTCTCTTTTCACAGAACTCTTCATAACTGATGACGAACTCAAGAAAGTACATGATTTCGAAGAGCAGTGCATAGAAGAATATTTCAGGGAAAAGGATGATCGATTCAACTCATCCAATGATGAAAGGATACGGGTGACTTCAGAAAGGTGTGTTCCATAGTCTCATGCCTCCTGCAGATGGTTTAAGCCATGGCATACTTTTTTATCAGTTGAATGTGTTTGCACAGCCACAAAACAGAGAGCCCTTGTGCATACTGGTAGCGTCCAAGAAATCACCAAGCTTATGAGAGAACAGAAAATTGTCTAAAGTGTATACACAAAATCAGCAGACAAAAACATCCAGACTTACAGGTCCTAGAGTTCTCCACCAGGTAGTAGTAGCTGCCCTCCTAGATACTAGAGATTGCTGAGTTGATTCCAAGACAGGGCTAGAGTTGCTGGCCAGAAATTTGGAAAGTTCTGACCCATACTCAAACCAAGAGAGACCCAACCAAACTCAAGGCTCCTCCGCAGGTTTGTGGTCCATCTAGATCATTGAGCATCTTCCCCAGAGTAGAAATGGACTTCCAGTTTTCTAGTTGCCATCGAGTCCACTCTGACTCGTGGCCACCTTATATGTGTCAGAGTAGAACTGTGCTCCATAGGGTTTTCAATGGCTGATTTTCGGAAGTAGATTGCCATTCCTTTCTTCCAAGGTGCCTCTGGGTGGACTTGAACCTCCAATCTTTTTGTTAACCACCAAGTGCATTAATCGTTTGCACCACCCAGGAACCCCAGAAACAGTCCTAGTGCCTGACTTCTATGGACGCTCAATACATCCTGAATAAATGACAGCAAGAGACTTATAAATTAGTCAGGATAATGATTGGGGTTTGTTTCAGAATTGCATTGCTTTTGCTTTTTCTAAAACAAGCTAAAAGGAAAGAAATAAAAGAAGATTTTTCTACACCAGTGTTTAGATACTTTTAGATCTCATTAACCAAACAGCTCTGTAGGCCATTAGGGCTTTAAAAACAATCTCAAAATAAAGAGAAGACAGTCCTTTAAATTTAATAAAGCTAGCTTTATGAAAATGCACTTAAATTTTCTCATTTTTCTTATTTTGCTATAGAGTCATAAAAACGTCATTCAAGGCTGGCACATTCAAAACCCAGCGTTTAGGAACCACTGTTCTAAAGAACACCCAGAACTTTACAAAGGCATGTGTAGCTTTAAATTTTAAGCATTTGAGATATAAAGATGGCAGAAGCAAACTATAAATAGTACAAAAAGATATAATACATCGATGACTGTTGTCAATATGATTCAAGTTGCTAAGATTGAGGGCAGTCCCCTCTAGTTTTCATGATATGACATTTTATCTGCCTATCCAATTCAGATTTTCTCTAATGGCTCTAGAGAAATTACATAAGTGGCATTTTTCTGTCCCTAGCCCTTTATTTATCCAAAGAATGCAGTCTAGATCATAGGCTTATACTCATATGCCATTGAATGATTTTATCCATAGGTACCCAGCCAATATTAATAAAGTCTAAAGAAATACACATATTTTATACACATCTGTCGCTGCAAAGGAGACCATTTTATAATGAAATGATGTGAAACAATTTTCTGGCAAACAGAGAAAGGAGCTGAAAATCCAAAGCTCTCTCTCTATCTGAGGCCTTGAAAAAGTTACATATTAATGGACAAATATCCATGTGTTTCCTAGAAAACTGTGCCATGTGGACACATTGCCCATTGCTCAGATGTACTGCCAGGAGCTGACAGTTCACATCCCCCAGGGACTCCAATGCCAGTTACCCAGAGAGAGAGAGCAAGTGAACACAAGCACCCGCACGCAGGAGACAAAAGAGTAGGATAATTTACTATTGCTAGATACTCCAGAATTCACCACAAATCATTTTATGTGTTCTTGGTTAAATTTCTTGATTTTGTTTTTCCTTTATTAAGGAAAGAACTGGATTACATGGCTCAACCCAAGTGCCTTGATAACTGGACCATATTAATACCTTTGTTGTTGTTGTTGTTGCTAGGTACCATTGAGTCAATTTCAACTCATAGCGGCCTTATAGGACAGAGTAGAACTGCCCCATTGGGCTTTCTAGGCTGTAATCTTTACGGGATCAAATTGTCAGGTCTTTTCTCCCAAGGAGCTGCTGGGTGGGTTTGAACTGCCAGCCTTTCAGTTCACAGCCAAGCGCTTAACCGTTGAACCACCAGAGCTCCTTATTAATGCCTTTTAAAACCTAAAACAAACCCATTGCAGTCGAGTCGTTTCCAACTCATAGAGGCACTAAATTCTAAAAAGATTATCATGAAAATTTTTTAAATGATTATGAAAATGCAAAATAAAAGAATCTCAGTCCATGAAATACAAATTTTATATCTACTTTGCAATAAAAATATCTATATTCTAAAATGTTACTACAAAATTCTAGGTAGTTATCAAAATACAGCGTTCTCATTTTGTTGGTGACCTTGTTAAGCCAATACCTTAATACTTGCTTCAGGTTATTGAGCCCTGCTCCAAGTCATAGCTAGGCCATGGAGACAGTGACAGCGTGAGAATTTGGCTCCGGTCCACTTCAAAAAGAGCTGCTCCACAATGGAGAATGAATAAAACCAAAGACACAAGGGAAAGATCAGTCCAAAGGAATAATGGACCACAACTATCACAGCCTCGACCAGCCTGAGTCCAGTACAACTCGGTGGTGCCCGGCTACCACCACTGACTACTCTGACAGGGATCACAATAGAGGGTCTTGGACAGAGCAGGAGAAAAATGTAGAACAAAATTCTAACACAAAAAAAGGGACCAGACTTACTGGTCTGACAGGGACTGGAGAAACCCCAAGAGTACAGCCCCCGGATACCCTTTTATCTCAGTGCTGAAGTCACTCCTGATGTTCACCTTTCGGCCAAAGATTAGACAAGGTCTATAACATAAACAATAACACACATAGTTCAACCATGTATATGAGACTAAAGGGGCACACTACCCCAAAAGCAAAGATGAGAAGGCAGGAGGGGACAGGAAAACTGGACGAATGGAAATGGGGAAGCCAAGGTCGAGAAGGGGAGAGTGTTGACACATTGAGGGGTTGGCAACCAGTGTCACAAAGTAGTATGTGTATTAATTGTTTAATGAGAAACTAATTTGCTCTGTAAACTTTCACCTAAAGCAACAATTTAAAAAAAAAGAAAGAAAATATTGGAGAAAAAAAAAACAAAAGAGCTGCTCCACTTTTGTGTTTATTTATTGAGATTGTGTGAATGGTGCAAATGGTTAACATGCTTGGCTGCTCACTGAAAGGCTGGTGGTTCGAGTCCACCCAGAGGGGCCTTGGAAGAAAGGCCTGGTGATCTACAGCTGAACAGCCATTGAAATCCCTATGGAGCACACTTCTACTCTGACCCACACAGGGTCACCAAGAGTCAAAACTGACTCAACTACAACTGGTTTTTTAACGGGATTGTGCATTAAATTTCATTGTAGGAAAACGGGACTGGCAGCTGAAAACCACTGGATTAGATCATTTCTAAAGCCTCTTCAGCTCAAAAAGATTTGGGTTCTGTGATTTTCAAGTGACAGCATCAAAGCCATTGTTTGCTTCCTGCCCCCCCCCCACTACCCATGACCCCTCTCTTTTTACTTCTGTCCCCTCTGTCCATGCTCTGTAGCCCCCCAGCAGAGGACCCCAGCCCAGAGTGACTCTTGCTCTATGTTCCCCCCATCACAGGGTGGAGAACATGTCCATGAGGTTGGAAGAAGTCAACGAGAGAGAGCACTGCATGAAGGCCTCACTCCAGACTGTGGACATCCGGCTTGCACAGCTTGAGGACCTCATTGGTCGCATGGCCACGGCCCTGGAACGCCTGACTGGTCTGGAACGGGCTGAGTCCAACAAAATCCACTCGCGAACCTCCTCAGACTGCACAGATGCAGCCTACATCGTCCGCCAGAGCAGCTTCAACAGCCAAGAGGGGAATACCTTCAAGCTCCAGGAGAGTATAGATCCTGCAGGTGAGGAGACCATGTCCCCAACTTCTCCAACATTAATGCCCCGTATGCGAAGCCATTCTTTCTATGCAGTCAGTATGAAAGACAAAGGTGGTATAGAAAAGTTGGAAAGTATTTTTAAAGAAAGGTCCCTGAGCCTGCACCGGGCTACTAGTTCCCACTCTGTATCAAAAGAACCCAAAGCTCCCGCAGCCCCTACAAACACCTTGGCCATCGTCCCCGACTCCAGAAGACCGTCATCATGTATAGACATCTATGTCTCCACCATGGATGAGCTCCACTGTGATATAGACACAGTAGACCCTCTCGACAATTCCATGAACATCCTTGGGCTGGGCGAGCCAAGCTTTTCGGTTCCAGCACCTTCCACAGCCCCTTCAAGTAGTGCCTATGCAACTCTTGCACCCACAGACAGACCTCCAAGCCGGAGCACTGATTTTGAGGACATCACCTCCATGGACACTAGATCTTTTTCTTTAGATTATACCCATCTCCCAGATTGCCAAAACCCCTGGGACTCAGACCCTCCAATGTATCACACCATTGAACGTTCCAAAAGTAGCCGCTACCTAGCCACCACACCCTTTCTTCTGGAAGAGGCCCCCATTGTGAAATCTCATAGCTTTATGTTTTCTCCCTCGAGGAGCTATTATGCCAACTTTGGGGTGCCCATGAAAACAGCGGAATATACAAGTATTACAGACTGTATTGACACAAGGTGTGTCAATGCCCCTCAAGCAATTGCTGACAGAGCCACATTCCCTGGAGGTCTCAGAGACAAAGTGGAGGACTTATCTTGCTGCCATCCAGAGAGAGAAGCAGAACTGAGTCACCCCAGCTCTGACAGTGAGGAGAATGAGGCCAAAGGCCGGAGAGCCGCCATCACACTATCCTCCCAGGAGAGCGAGAACTCAGACAGAACCCTGTCCAACAACATCACTGTTCCCAAGATAGAGCGTGCCAACAGCTACTCAGCAGAGGAGCCAAGTGTGCCATATACACACACCAGGAAGAGCTTCTCCATCAGTGACAAACTCGACAGGCAACGGAACACAGGAAGCCTGCGAAACCCCTTCCAGAGGAGTAAGTCCTCCAAGCCGGAGGGCCAAGGGGACAACCTGTCCATGAGGAGATTGTCCAGAATGTCTGCTTTCCGCAGCTTTGAAAGCAAGCACAACTAAACCTTCTTGATGTGCATTGCAGGAGGCTCAAGAATACAGCCCTAAAATCTCCCTGAACTCACCTTTCTCCCTTCCTTAAATCGCACCTGCTTTTTACTTACCTGAGCAAAACAAGCAATGCTTTGGGAGGTGTTAACTCAGAGGTGGGAGTCCCTGGGTGGTGCAAATGGTAATGCACTCAGCTGCTAACCAAAAGGTTGGGGGTTTGAGTCCACCCAGAGGCCCCTTGAAAGAAAGGCCTGATGATCTACTTCCAAAAACTCACCCATTAAAAACCTTATGGGGCACAGTTCGACTCTGGCACACAAGGAGTCACCATGAGTCAGAGTTGACTCCATGGCAACTAGTAACTCAAAGGTGACTTCTGGGCCACAGGTCAAGAAAGCATTTGACCTGACCTAGCGCCAAACAGAAGGGTTTTCAGTTGTGGAGGAGCTTGCTGGGGAGGGAGAGGGAAAGAAGGGAAGAAGAAAAGTTAGAGATGAATGGTGTCACCAGTCACTTCAGAAAGCCGTGTGCTCTGGGGACTGAAGGGGCTTCACGTACTCTCCATGCCAGGAGGCATCTTTTGATTTCTGACCATTATCAAGAGGTGTAGGATGCAGGGCTAAATTGCAAACTAAAATAAAATAGCCAGCATACAAATAAGATATTCTAAACTTCAATTCTGTTTTCTTTTCACATTGGCTCCATCACTGTGGTGACTGATGAAGAGCATCCTTTTTATTCAGTATAAGCCGGCAGCAAGCAGTTCTCCTAACGTCCCACATCCTTCTCATGCCAACACTTCTGTAATTGATCATTATAAAGAAAAAACAAGGTAACAGTCATAGTTCACCTGTCTCTTACATATTCACTTCTGGTGCCACAACTGTTTATCTTTTTGGAAGAAAATAAGGGAAAAGAAATGCCTTTTTGTATTGCAATCCAAAATGAAAGAAGAATTGATGTTAAAAACAAATGTCAAGTGATTTATTATGTACAGTGGGCATTCAAGTGTAGTTAAGCAAGCTCAGGATGAATGTAATTAAATAGTTTTATATTTTTTAATTTATTTTGTATCTCACTTATCATTGCTGAATTCACTCACTGAATCTGTAATATTAAACTAAAGGGAAAAAAAAAAAAAACAATGGGAACAACTAACTTAAAATTGCCATGTGAGATATTGTTATGTTCTCACCATTCATGTCCTGTGTTTTGCTGCTGTGTGATTGTCATCATTTGCATGACTCCATCATGTCTTCTGAAAACCTCCAAGATGTAACTGCCAATTTTTCACACCACCCATCACATGACCATTTTATATATGAATACATGGTTATATGTGGCTATTTTCATACCTAGAGTTTTGCCATCTAATCTGAGCTCAGCATAAATTTAATTGGAGTTTTTCAAGGGATGATATTTTTCTTATGGAAATGTTCCAAAGTGCTTTCTAAGGAAGTTTCAAAACCATAAATAACTTTAGAATTGCCTGGGAGTTTGGTATCAACCTAAAGCCATCAGTTGCAAGCATACCGTGAATATTTTTCTTATATGCAGAGCTATAAAAAAAGATACAGTAGACCAAAATAGAAAACAAATAAACCGTATAAAGAGTTCTATAATACATGCTGCTTATATACATGTACCTGCATTTACACAGAGAGACGTGTTTATATATAGTATATAAACAGACATATAGAGCTTTCTTAAGAAGCTTGGACTTTTCTATCACCTTGAAGTATTACTAGGATTTTTTTAATATCCAAGGAGTTCCATTGAAAGAGTTCATTATCGTATTAGACCAAATGTTGAATTTGCAACTTTTTAAAACCCCTATGACCTTAACATTTCCTTGTACCAAACTAGAGTTGTCAAAACTACTCCCTGCCTGCCCTCTGCCCCTTTTTATCTGAGAGCACTCATGATTATGACATTTTGTTTAATTTTGTTTTCTCCTGCACAAAGCTGTTACACCAAGTGCAATCTGAATAGACATGCAATTCTAAACGAGTTAGTATTATAGACTCTGGAATACAGGCATAGCTTCTAGATCAGAATCTGGATTTGAAGTGGGAAAAAGAAATCTTGACCCAAAACTTTCAGAATCCTATTTAGATCACTAAGATTTAAAACAGGAAGAAGCCTTTAAAAAAAAAAAAAAATAGTTTAATGTACCTGGCCCAAGATACTACCCGATTCTTTTGTTTTAGTTGTAATTGTGAACTCCAATATTATCTCATTTTGTAAATTCAAGTAAATAACATGGACAAAATGTTTAACCTTTCAATATTTAAAAGAAAAAAAAACTTTCTGAACAAGCTTTTCAGGCATAGAAAGAGTGATGAGGTCATATATGTAAAGAATTGAAGAATACTTTTTTTATTCCTTGGTAGGTGAATCAGAAAGAATCAAGCAAGCGGACTATAGGTTGTCACTCATTTATAGTCCCTCTAGAAACACTTACATTTTTGTTGAGCCCCACAATGACTATTTCCCCTCAGCAAACACACATTTGGTCTGAGAATAAATCAGCTGTTCCCAAACTTCCTGGAGTTGTGAATCCCTACAAGAATCTGATGAAACCCTTGGTCTTTTTTCCTAGGGTGGGGTAGGGGGGGTGCATATACATACAAAGTTTTCAATATAACTTTTAAACTGGTCATGAACCCCTGGGTCCATATTGATTTATATTGAGGACAAGGAACCATGTTTGTTCATAATCAATAGAGTTGTAATAGGCACTTTACATTTTGAGACCATTTCTCTGTGATTCTCAGGAAGGCCGAGTCTCAGCACCAGAGTTTGAACCAAGATTTCACTATTTTTGTTCCTTAGATGAGATTGTTGCTAGTTTGCTGTACTTATGTCCTAACATTTTGATGATCTTAAGTAGTGAGCACATTTACAACACCAGAAGGCTCTCTGAGGGCGTCTGTAGAGGAATCCAAGGAGGAGGTGAAACCATTATTCTTTGACCACAGAACAGGACCTCATAGCACCTCCAGGGCCTCAATCCTGGACCAGAGTCAAGACTGGAAGTGGAGGAAAGAAATTATGAGCATGCATGTTTCCATTCATCATGATTTCTGGAGAGAAAATAACAGTACCTGGGAAACAAAACAATGAGTAGTCTTGACTTTGGGACTACCTGGTTCTTTTGTTTTGCAGGAAAATTAAGTTCTAACATCTCATGTGCAGTGTGTGAAATATATAAGCCAAACTTAAGTGACTTTAAGCCCAAATGGTGTAACTTTCATGAGCCATGTCTTTTTGGTAAACATACGTGTGTGTTGTTTTTCAATCCATTTCTTTCCACGTCTGGGTTCTCTGCACACCAGTCTGGCATTGATTCTGTGGCCTTGTACAGTCAGCTTGTGCTCAGCTCATTTATTCCACCATGTCCCTGATCGAGGGGACATTAATTACCTGTCTCTGTGAATTAAGCAGCTCATGAGCAGCAAGTTATTGAGAGACATAAATAAAGTCATAGAGAGTCCAAGGAAGTAATAGCTTTGGATTAATAATCTGCTTCTAACGTGCCAATTTTTATATACTACTACATGTAATGACTTGTTCTAAATTGCTTCTTTTGAAAAAAAAATTAGAAATATTTTATGAAAATGACCGTGGATGTTTCCTGATTATCAAACACACTTACATTTACAGTTAGAAAATCCCTCCTTGATGAATAGAACAAGAAGCTGGAAAGCTTGGGGCAAATGTCATGGTTAGTTTATTACTCCAAGCCAAACAGTGTATTAGCCATCAGAATGCAGCACTTTACAGACCTGGATTTTTTTGTTCTCAAGTCTAAGCTTCCAGGTCTAGGATATTATTTAGCACTTTGAAAGTTCCCTTTTAAAAAAAAATATATATATATATATATGTATGAATAATCAAATGGGAAAAATGTACTCATAAACACAAAATGTGTTCCTTCTGAATGTTCCAAATATATTCTGAAATATGGTTTCTATAGGTAATATTATGGTAGATAACTGGATAGTACATTTATTCTATGTTCTGAGGCTGTGCAGTCTAACCTTCCTGAATGTTTGGACTGTTTCACTTCTTTAATGATAGTAAATATTATCCAGTCATTCACCATGCTATATCTATAGGCTATTCCATTCGATATGTTGGGCAATGCTGTATTATAAAATACATGTAAACATATATGTAACCCGTGTTTAACCCAGCATGGTTGTAGCATGTGGTCGTATTAATGAACGTTACAGGATGGCTTTATAATCATTTATAAATCTGTAACATTCAATAAAGAAGCACATGTTGCAAGGATTAATCATGTTCCCAACTCCATGTTATTTAGCATCCTCGTGAAATAGGCATTTTTGTTCCTGATCTACTTTATATTTTTCACACTTCAGTAGACCACTGTAAAATATTTGTATAAGCTGATGTGCATCCTCTAACCAGCCCTGTGAGCTGTGGTAGGCAAGTTGTGATTTTGTGAAAGATGAACTGGCATGTTATGCAAAAAAACTATATGACAAATGAACGTAAAATAACATTTTAAACTCCAGTTGAATTAGCTGTTTGTTTACATCTGCTGACCAAGTGTGGAGGCAGTGTACAGTATTTTATAAATATGTTCATTCAGTAACACTGTGTCGTTTCTACGTAAAGTGATACTAGTGGGTAGGTGATTATATACTTGTCCTAGTTATTGCATTATAACTCACTATTCTTTAACAATAACAATGTGACTTAAATGAAGTAATCCCTCTCCAAATCCAGTCTTAATTTTGTGGCAACAAAAATGCATGCACTACTTTATGCATTTCTTTTGACTTTTCGAAAGCACTTAACATTTTACTATTGCCTGTTACGACGCTTAAACCAGTTAGGAACTCAAATCGTTGGGCTTCTTACACTGTTTTTGGCATCATGTTCAATTTTTTAAAATTAAAAACAAAAAAGCAACCAAGGTTTTTTTTTACCTTTTTTTTTTTTAAGCTCTGAGCAAATAATATAAAATAAAGTATTAACCG